TGTGTCCAGCAAATCGGTGATTGGATGCAAAATAACTTTCTCCAAACTAAACACCGACAAAACTGAAATAATTGTTTTTGGACCCCAGAAACAAAGAGAGAGCGTTATTTGTCACCTCCAGGCTCTCTCTCTACAACCCTCAAATCAGGTCAGAAATCTAGGAGTGATAATGGACTCAGACTTAAATTTCAAAAGCCACATAAAATCTGTAACATCAGCAGCTTATTACCACCTAAAAAACATTGCTAAAATTAAAAACATAGTGTCTAAGGCAGACTTGGAGACTCTTATACACGCTTTTGTCTCCAGTCGGTTAGACTATTGCAATGGCCTGCTCACAGGTCTGTCCAAACAGGCTGTAAAACAGCTGCAGTACATTCAACATGCAGCAGCTCGAGTCCTGACCAGAACTAGGAAGTACGACCACATTAGTCCAGTTCTCAGGTCTCTGCACTGGCTTCCTGTTCCTCAGAGAATAGACTTCAAAGCAGCTTTACTTGTGTACAAGTCTCTCCATGGTCTCGCGCCAAGGTACATCCATGACATGTTTGTGCCATATGAACCGACCCGGACTCTGAGGAGCACAGGGACTGGACTCCTGTTAGTGCCCAGAGTCGGTACTAGACATGGGCAAACTGCATTTCAGATTCATGCGGCTAGAGTCTGGAACCGTCTTCCTGAGAATGTGAGACAGGCGTCTACTCTGGCATCTTTTAAATCTAGGCTCAAAACAATTCTTTGTTTTTATCTTTAATCTTTTTAATGCACTGTGACTATTTATGATTTTAGTCCCATCTGTGATTTTAATGTTTAAAGGTTTTTAATTTTTGTGATTTTATTTTTAATGTTTTTAATATATCTTTGATTTATGCATGATGTGATAGGGGATGTGAAGCGCTTTGCGTTGCCTTGTGTAGGAAAGGCGCTCTACAAATAAACGTTGATTGATTGATTGATTGATATGATTGCCAAGTCTGCACCCTCTCCTGGTGGGGTGTGACTACATGACGTCAAAGACCCAACCAGTTTCTTTTCACAATTTATTGATCCACATTTCAGTTGCCATGTCAAGGTTAACAAACATACATAATCATTTTCATCATGCTACTAAATTCAAACAGATAAAACAAAAAAGGTTTTTTGTGTGTCAGTACATATACATAAACACAAAGCCTGAAATTGTCATTTTGTGGATTTTGCGTTATTTTGTACTTTTGTTTTAATTTGACATTAGTTCTCAGTTGGTTGGGTTTTAATTTTACTTCCTGTCCTGTTCTCTTGATACATTTTCAAAAGAACAGGACCCTGATGTGTTTCACCTGTGTCTCTGTGTCTATGTCCCTGTGCTCCTCTCCCCGTACAGCTGTGCTGTCTCCTTGTATTGTTAATGTCAGTCCATGTCTTTCGTTTTCCAGGTTCCTGTTTGGATTTTTTAGTTTGTTTGTCCCTGGACTTTATCATCATTAAATCATTATTATTCCTACATTTTGGGTCCTCTAGCATTTCACTCCGTGACAGAAATTTTGTTTCAAATCTGGTTCATAAAAGGAGCCAACCTGTGCAATGGTTTGGCTCCCAGACCCCGAACTACAGTTTGACCTGTACCGGAGGATATAACAATTACGATTATTTGCTCAGGGTCCAGACCCTGAAGTGATCATTCGATGCTTTGAGGAGCAATATTCTCACTGTTGAGGTGGTGGAGGAGGTGGGTTGCTGCTTGAGCTGATGCTTAGTGGAAAGCAGTAAGTTTAAATGCAGCTGGTGAAAGTTGATGATGAGGAGCACAGGGACGGGAGCCAGCTGTGGCTGATTGCTGATGAGGAGAGGAGATAATCCAATCTTTCTGTCTGCTTTAGGTCTTTTAACAAGCAGCTGGTTGACAATTGGCTGTTTCTCAAGTGAAACTAAGCCGTTTTGGAAATATGTTGGGCTCCAGTTAGACCAAAAGGAAGGGGTCTTATATGTTCCTTTAAATTGTTCTTTGATCGTCGTTTATTTGTGGAAATTGATTCCTTTCAAATCAACTCATTTTTGAATGGTCCATCTCAAAATCCATAGCTTCCTTGACATTTTTGTGGTGCAAAAGGCCCAAACCAAAATTTTTGTGAATCATAATTTTTCTGAAGGATAATGAGCCATACTATCAATGTATTCAATAATCTATTATGAATTTCTTATTTATCACTGAAATGTTGAAAAATGTGTTCAGGCTTCATAATAGAACAGTTGGCGCAGTGTTTGAGAACCCCGTGCAGCAGTGAGGCTTCAGCCTGCACAACGATCATGATGATCCTCTCTGGAGCAGAGCGTGTTGCTGCCTGTCGCCTTCTCTGCGCACACTGCACTGACGGCTGCAAATCAAACGCCCGCCGTTTCGCTCTCAGTTTCCTCGGACGTCCTGATTGGCTGTTCTATGTGACCAATGGAATGGTGTGTTTACTAACGGCGGAGGGATGTGTTGAGGAAAGGGTAGCGCTGGGTGGATGGGGAGGGCGCCTCACGGGCACGCTTTCACATTGTCGTTTTCAAACCAATAGGCGTGCGCGTTCGCCCCTCCCTACGCACACACATCTCGCTCACCCTTTTCCTCACAGCGTCCGAGTCTCCGGCTGCATGAAAGAGCCTCAATTCACTACAAGCCTGAACTTCTGCGCCGCGTCTCTGCCATAGCTCCAGTGCACGGCTTCGTCTGCTGCAGCAGCGCAGCAGCGGTGGATGTAATCAACGCCACATGTTTCATTTGAACGCGCCGTGGATTTTTCATTCTCTTCACTTTGGACTTTTTTATTTCATTAGCTGCAATCGAGAAGTTAAACGACTCGTTCAAGAAGTTAAACGAACAGTAAGTCACTTCAAATTAACATTATTAACAGAAACAAATACTGTTTTCAGCTGGAAGATCCAGGCAACACCACATCTCCTACACATTTGGATTACATTTAATGCATTGGCATCTAGTATTTTATTTTATATAATATATTATAACACACACACACACATATGACATTGATCTTATCTTATATGCAAGACTGCTATGTACAGGCATGTATTTGAATACACACACACGCACAGACACACACACATATATACACACATACATATATATATATATATATATATATATATATATATATATAATGTCTGTGCGTGTTGCGTGTGTGTACGTGTATGTGTATGTGTATGTGTATGCTTACGGGAAGTGTATGTCTTGAATTAAATCTAGAATGCGCGCGGCTTTCTCGTCGGGACCGAGCCTTTATACAGTCGCTGTATAAAAGTATAAATCACTGAAGTGTCTAATTTGACTGCAACAATGTGCTTATTGTACATAATTGTTTAGGACTATTCTCAAGCTCTGCGAAACAATATGACTTTGTTACTTATTTATTCATTTAGAGCTATTCCTAAACCATAGGTTTGTCACAGATGCAAACATCAGCACTTAGAGTCTGAAAATCACGAGATAAAGAAATTGTCAGATTCTGTTCAACAGTGAGAGATGTGTGTCAGAATTACGCTCGCGCTGCAGCGTGTACGGCTCGCGGTGCGTGTGTAGTTTGTGTCAAAGCCGTCAAAGATGCCTAATAAGCATAAAATAGGAATTAGCCTGTGTACAACATGTTTCCGTTTACGTATGCTACAGACATGTGTAGTTAAAAATATACATATATTTATACATATATTTATACAAATAGAGTTGGCTCGTTTGATTTGGTTTGTATCTTTTGGCGTGGGATGTAAACTCCGGGGTATGTACGGGATCAAATGTAAATGTTAAGTTAAATATGGCTTAATATATGACTGTCAGATTCGTTCAAAGCTAAACGGGTTGAAATGATGCCGCTTTACGTGTTTATGACTCATGTTATAATTGTATCAGGTTTATTTCATCAACTGCAGCTAAAGCAAAATCACCGAGACTCAATCATGTGTAGGCTTTGTAACATTGCACTGTTTTAACCTTATTTTCTTTTGCGTCTCTCACTCACACACACACATACACCCACGCACAATCAAGCGCGCACGCACACACACACACAGAGGGGAGCCTACTTTTCTCTCGCTCAAATGCCAAAAAGTTTCTTGCTTCCAATGCGTTCACACATGGAGTGAAAATGCAACAACTACAATTGCACATGTCTCATTATTGCACATAAGTCCCAGGAACAGTTACAGGTTTCCTCATCGCTGGTGCCTTCATGTTAAGCTGCTGAATGGCTCAACCATCGTGTGCGTGTGCGTGTTGCGAGTGCAACAAACTAATTCACATTTCAGTCTGAGTTGAGCGTCTGTGGACACACCACATCTTTACGCACACGAGCTTTATTGTTCTCTGTTGTGAAGGGCGAGGGTCACTGCTGCTGACAGGAGTTCACAAAAACGTGGACATTAGCCGTGGATTTTTTTGGCCAAATACCCTAAAATACTTATAAAATATAAATGTAAATACTGCATGAATATGTTTTAGGACATAATGAATTATTGAATGAGAAGTATAGACGCGGGACCCACCAGAAAATGAACGTGATCTAATTTCAAGTCACGCGCCGCTGTTAAATAGCCTCTGATATTGATCTGGTTTACGGAACAGAATGTGCACATTTCACTTTGTGGCTGTTGTAACTTGTCCCTTACGCGCAGTGCATTTGCAGAACCTGGTCCCGTATGGACCCTAGCTCTCACCTGGTCAGAGGTGTAGAACCATGTGGGCCTGCGTGTGACCTGCTCACATGTGCGTGTGCATATTACATATTGACAGCACGTGCTCCATAGTTGTTGTCTCATTATTTACAGTTTTGACTTTTTTACTGTCCATGGTTTTGACGTGTCTTGCTTTTCTCTTGTAGGACATGGCGGGATCTGAGTTTGAGATCTCCAAATCCAAAGCAGACTTTAAAGCGACTGGACTTGGAAGTTCATAACGGGGATTATTTGCATTCAGTGCCCGGGAGTTTGGGATTTCTTTTTGGATTTGGGATTTATTGTCTCTCGCGGAGATGGAAAGCCGAGATTTTGCTCCTCCACACCACCTCCTCACGGAGCGCAGCGGTTTGGTTCACAGCGCCTCGTCTCGGCTGGCGCCTGGCGGCCACGGCTCCATGCACCACCCCGCGCACTTTCAGCCTGGAAAATACTATCCATCTCACCTCTCCATGGCTCCACATGCAGGTCAGTGCGACGGCTACCTCCTTCTGAATGATCTCAGTGTTTCACTTCCACGGTCAACATTCTGCACATGATATTTCTATAACTATTGGAACACGAGAGAAAGCAGCGCTTGAATTTCAGAGACTTGTTTTTGTGACTGTCTCTCCATGTTGTGATTTTAGATACAAAATAAGGCGTTGGATTTGAGATTCCATACTCTCAGTAGGCGAGTTGTTATTGTTCCTTGTGCACATTAGATCTCGGGAAGGTATTAATAATGAATCACAAACATTTACATTAGAGTAGGTCCAGATATGCACTCATAGAGTTCTCTTCCGTGAGCCCTTGTGCTTCTACGCGTTGCACGGGTTTGTGTGTGTTTGGCCTGTTTCTAAACGAGGGTCTTGCCGCGAAGGGGACGCTGGGTAATAGAGGTGCGAGTAATACCAGAAAATCCGGTTTCTATATTGAGCCGGGACGTGACGGGGTGCGAATGGGTTGACAGTGCATGCATTAGATTTAACAAGTAGCTTTGGTATTCTGCCTCAATGGGGAAGAGGGGGATGGGAGCGCGCGCGTGTGTGCGTGCGCGTATGTCGGCGTGTGTTTGCGTGTGTGTTTGTGTGTGTATGTATTTGTACGTGTGCATGTATGTATGTGTGTGTGTGTGTATTTGTAAGTGTGCATGTATGTATGTATGTATGTGTGTGTGTGCGTGTGTATTTGTACGTGTGCATGTATGTATGTATGTGTGTGTGTGTGGGTGTATTTGTACGTGTGCATGTGTGTGTGTGCTGGACTTAGTAGTAATATAGCCACGAGCCCCAAGTTCGCTGTGAATCATGCACTTGCTGATAAATGTAAACTTGATTGGCGACGACTCTCATTAATTGCCATTTGTAAATGTGGATTCATCTTTAATAGACCCTGAGACTGGCTGCGTGGATTGTTCTGTTGCGTGTGTATGCACGTGGGTGCGTGCCTGAGTCGACCAAAGTCGACCCATACGTATTCGTTTGCTAAAACAAATTGAACAGGATATCCCGTTTTTGCGATTCATTTGGAATATTGGTCTACGTCCATTTGGGTGATTTTATGTATTATTGTTACATAATAGGCTGATATTAAAACTGAACTCCTCTGGTTACAACACTATGCAGATGGAATTTCTCACGGGCAAAGAAGTCAGTGTTTTTCCGCTTGATATAATGGTTATGTGAAGGTCGCAGTAAACTCATCCATTGCTACGTGGCAGATTCTACGAGAGGTTTCTGTATTTGTCCTGGGTTTTAAATGTTCTGAACGCTGTGAAAACTATGATCGTGATGTTGTAACAACAATACACACTGACACGACCTGGCTTCCTGACATCCTTTTCTTGAGTTACAATGAACAATGATAGTATTTTAGTCAAAATGATGCTTGTCTTTCGCAGTGAACCTGGATGTGTCTGCTCATGGATCTGACTCTGGTCCGTTTCCAGTGGTTGTGTGGCGTTGTGAGTGCAGCGCTGTAATGCACAGTGATAATGCAATTGAAATGTATTCAAGAGGCTCTCGCTGGGTCCCGAGGTGCATGACACTGTATTGAGATTCCAGATAGCCTGACTCTCCATGCATGTCTCTGTTGGGGTTTTGACTGACATGATGGGCATAGAGCTGCGTTATTCCAGACTGGGGGAGGGGTTCAATGTGGTGGTTGGTTACCTTTGTGCTGCCTTCCTTCGAGATTCCGAAAGCTGCATGGCCTTCCAAGAAGAATGTTTATATTTTCTTAAATTATGACCACAAAGATCTCTCTTAAGTCTTCTGTTCGTTACCAAGACTCTCTGTAATCAGTTGACTGAAGCCTCCAGCTCCATGGATGTGGTCATGCTTGACACGTTGATGGAATGACAGCACACCACTGCCATAAGTTTGTTCCCCATTTGATAAAAGCCCTCAGTGAAATTACACAGACGTCTGCAGACTGATACTGACCCTGTCTCTGTCCCTGTCCATGTCTGTCTCACTCTCTCTGTCTCTGACCATGTCTGTCTCACTCTCTGTCTTTGGCTGCAGTGAACCAGCTTGAGCCTGAAGCTGTGGACGTTCTAAAACTAAACATATTCAGTATGCAATGCCTTTTCTTTTTCTTGTTAAAGAAGGAAGAGAATAATGTAAATTTAGTGAACTTTTTTAGGGGTATAATTTAGTATAATTTAGTATATATATATACTAAATGGGCGGCACGGTGGCAGAGTGGCAGAGTGGATAGCACTCTCGCCTCTCAGCAAGAAGGTCCTGGGTTCAAATCCCGGTCAGACCAGGGCCTTTCTGAGTGGAGTTTGCATGTTCTCCCCGTGTCTGCGTAGGTTTCCTCCGGGTACTCCGGTTTCCCCTACCACTAAAAATATGTCCAATAGTTCTGGCATGCGCCTCCTGTACTGGTGACCCTGCTCCCATCTCTGTGTGGAGTGAGAGACAAATGCCCAAAAATTAACAATTGTAAACCGCTTTGAGACTCATATCTGCAGTGAAAAGGCGGTATATAAATAAATACTTACTTACTACTACTACTATATATATATATATATATATATATATATATATACATTTCAAGAATACATTTCAGATAACCCGCTCTGTTATTTGAACAACATCAATGATTAGTGTAAAGTAGTAACTCAGATACAATTCAAATAATAATAATTTCAAGTAATTGCATATATATATATATAACACATTTATATAACACATTTTTAAACCTTTAATTTGGTAAATTTAAATAACACCCAGCCTTGAGAACAGTTGTTACACACACACACATACACATGCACACACACATACACGTGCACACACGCACACACACCTACACTTACACACACACACACACACCTACACTTACACACACACACACACGCACACACACACACACGCACACACACGCACACACACCTACACTTACACACACACACACACACACACACACACACACACACACTTACACACACACACACACGCACACACACACACACACACACACACACACACCTACACTTACACACACACACACATGCACACACACTTACACACACACACACACACACGCACACACACCTACACTTACACACACACACACACACTGTTCTGAAGAGCAGCTTGCTTCTCATTCAATGTTGGTTCTGAAAATAAAATTCCATAATTTCCCCAGCAGTAACAGAGTATTGACAAATTTGAAATATTGAAATGATTTGAGTTTGAAACAACTAAAGTACGTGCCAATATCCACATTCCTGTAGTTTTCAGCCTGATGTTGACATTTAAATGTTTTAAAATATCCAGAAACAGATTGTTATTATATTTGTGAATCTTGTTTTTCATGAATTACCATATTAACCCAGAACAACATTTTATTGCGTTTTCATAAAGGAAAAGTTAATACAATTTATAATGCAAAGTGGGCTGAGTTTTGTTTTTTAATGTATTATTATAATTATAATTATTTCATTTATTTTCATTTATTCAAGTGAAACATAATCGTAGTAAGGAGAGGAGAGGGATACAGTCAGATGGAGTGACGGAGACGCAGGCTGGGTGTGTTTCTCCACCGTCTGCGTGAGAGAAGTGAGTCAGCAGAAGACACCTCCCAGTCACCTATGTTACCCAGGGTGCACTGCAAAACCCCCTCCGCCCCCCAGACAGCTGCTAGAGCCTGGAGCCAACATCAGAGTGATCGGGACTAAACTGTAAACTGTCATATCAGTCCAATCCAGAGCTTTTTAGTCCACAGAATGTGTATTTCTAATTGTGTGACATGAATGATTCTGTCCCAGAGTGTTGTGTGGTCATTATAATGTTTATTTTAATATGCAGGACGCAGCACTTGACTGAGCAGGTCGCACTCAGGCCTTACAGAAAGAAGATTGTGCTTTCAATTCCCTTGCTGCGCTTTTCTAAGTGGAGTTTCTATGTTTCCTTTGGGACCAGAGGATTTTAACTTTCCAAAAACATGCAGCTCAGATCCTCCAGTGAAGGTAGTGCCGACTAGGGAGAGAGTGGCCCCTAAGGTTGGGTCAAATGCAGAGGACACATAGTAAACCATAATCTTACTTAATCCCCTCTCTATTTGGAGAGGGGATAGTATTAGCTAAAGTTATAGTACATGTCATTTATTGTAATATATGTCATTTATTGTATTGCCGGCAGATACGTATGGCATTATTTGGCATCACTACGGTAACTTCTTTGCAGAACTTTGTAACAAATTTGGCCGTAAACTTTGGGTTGTTGTCTTGAGATATTTACAATATTTCCACATACGGTTCCTTTCTGCTTCACGGAGCCATCTGTTTTATTAAAGCCACAGTACCTGAATTTCACACCATCACTACTTTTCACATCTTTAGACGCTTTTTCAGACAGAAAAGTAAAAAGAGAAGACCACTCAGCCAATCAGCTCTCAGCCAAGACTCAAGATTCTTTTGTCCAGAAAAAGTTAGATACCCCAGCTTTAAATGCACCAGTTCCTCTTGCAACAGATCAAGCCCAGAAAAGCCGACTTCCACCCCCGTGCTTCAGAGTTGGCGTGGTGTTGTCTACTTGCTTCCTCCTCTTTCCTCCAAATGTATCACATAGTTGTCCATGAGTCGAGCAGCTATGGCTTCTTTTGGAGTAATGCTGTGTTCCTTCTCTGAGTCTCCTTCATGATGTTGGATGTTGGACTGCTCCATTAAAACATCTTAGCAATCGAACATGGAACCTTTTAATTGTATTCACGAGTTAATCAGAATTATGTAAGTAAGTAAGTAAGTAATCTTTATTTATATACCGCCTTTCACAGACCAGAGTCACAAAGCGGTTTACAATTGTTATTTTTGGGCACTTGTCTCTCACTCCACAGAGAGATGGGAGCGGGGTCGCCGAACAGGAGGCGCATGCCAATCCTATTATACATATTTTTAGTGGTAGGGGAAACCGGAGTACCCGGAGGAAACCTACGCAGACACGGGGAGAACATGCAAACTCCACTCAGAAAGGCCC